GGAGTTTTATTCACAGTGGCACTGTTGCCTATTTAGCATATCCTGTCTTCTGAGAGAACAAACAATGCCATGGAATAAGGAAACACACAAGCAAAACAGCACACAACCTGGCAGCTCCCTGAAGTCCCATCCTCAGTCAAAATTTAGAGGGTAGAACACCATTTTAAGAGCATGATGAAAAGAAACAGTGATTGACGAACAGATAAGATATTGCCCATGATAAAGATGGGAAAGATCAGGGCTTGGCATTCATAGTGTACATTTAAATTATCAACTAATAGCATATTAAGATATGTAATTGTTTTACAAATTGAATGTCCTGAATAAATATTTTAAACTCCTTTTAATAAATCATTGCATTGTAATAAGTTAGATGTTATTAAGATTGCTAATTTAGTAAAAAATCACTAATTTAACTTAGAAGCTCTAGTTCTTTAATGTTACATATAGTCTTAAAAATTGTTGACTTTAAAAAAAAAGGTAATTAGCTTTAGCTAATGAAGAAGTTTTAGTCCCTCTGAGGAACAGTGGATACAAGAGGAAAAATAGTATTAGACACAAAGAACAAATATCTTTATCTTACTGCTTTGGTAAAGAAGTTACATACACATGAAAACTTGTAAATATTGAATGACTGGGAAAATAATTCAGTTACGTGATTTTGGTTCCTGCTCAGTGGTTGTTCATTTACATAACTATTTCCACCTAACTTTAAGTATTTCTGTCTGGAAACCCATTCAGTTTCTGGGTAGTGCACACTTTCTAACTTCTGGTTCATCTCTCTCATTGCAGTTTTTTGTTATTGGTAAAAACACAGTTGATATATTACCACGTAGAAGTGATGATTTTGTCTGGAATACATGGTTTATCTGGTATTGGAAGTCTTGTTTCATGGAGCCTTATGTTCAGAGATAGTTTCAATATTTTTTAGAAGCATTCATATTGGGTCTTTCAGAGCCGTCTTGCAAATGTATGTTGAAGATTCTGTAAATAGAATTTCTACTAAAAATAGGAATTGTGTTAATAATGTGGAATTACGTGGGTGCTTTTCAAAATACTGTCTTTTTACTCATATGGTGAGGTTGATGTGCTGCAGTGTCTCCTCACTGATATTAATGCAAATTGTTCATAAGAAAATGTGTGAGTAACTTGAAGCCTGAGTAGTTAAGTATTAGAGCATCCACACAGGTAAAAGGTCTACATCCTGCATTAATGTGTGCCTGGTAAAATGTCATTTACTTGTCTGATTAACCTAAAAAATGTTACTTAACAAAATTTCATCCGTTGCCTCTAAAATATGCACAGTAGAGAATGAGTAATTGTTTCAACTGATTGAATTTCCTACTCTTTGAAGTGAGGACTGGAAGACCAGTCTCTTTTAGCAGCATATCTAAAGAGAAATTGGTCATGTGTTTTTAAAGTGTCCTATGTGCAGACCGCTAATATATTTAGGTAAAATTGCATCATCGTGTCTATGGAAGTGGATTCAGGTTGATTTTTTAATTGCAGAAAAAACAATCCAAATTCAACTATATTGTTTAACAGTTTGATAGATTTTGCTTGGGCTTTCTGACACTCACTGCGTTTCCTAGAAATGCAAGATCTTATGTTGGTTGAAGTTTAGTTTTAACTAAAAAAAAAAAAAAAAAAAGTGCTCTTTGTTCTGTTTACATTTGTGTATATGAAATATTTTGACATAGTATGAAGGACAAATACATGAATTCATAGATCTATGTTTTATATATACGGTGATCACTGGTCCAGAAATAGATGAATCACAACCATGAAGAAACTATGAAGAAAATCAGTGTGGTGAACCTTGATAAACTTTTAGATAACTTCTCAGAGATAGAAAAGGTAAGTGAAGAAGGTAAAAAATGTTGAAACTGCTATGTATAAATATTTTGTGACATTTTAATAAGCTCTTCAAGTGAAAATTTCTTCTAGGTGGTGTCAGCTTATTCTTATTACTATGCCTTGTAATACCAACTGTGTTTGGAAAGTGTTTGTATTGACTGTATCTCAGAGTGAAGTGAGTGACTTCTGTGGAGTCTGAGAAGCCTTTGCTTCAGTGCTAGAATTTTAATGGTGCAGAGGCCAATTTTGGCTTCTCAGGAAAAGCGTGAGAGTGTCCCTTTGTATCAGAAGCTGCTATTGGAGATAACAGTATTACACAGCTTTGCTGGACTATCCTTTCAGAAATTGTTCCTTGTTCTAGAAAAATGTCATTGCCATAGCAGGAGCATCTGTTCTTATATTCCATCTGCACTGAGCTCTCTTTATTTTATGTATATGTCAGTTCTTAAAAGATTGATCCACTGAGGAAAATTGGTACTGTATTTCTTGTTAGACCTACATTGACCAGCTCCCTCATGATTTCCTGATTGGTAAATCCATACTAGAGGTAATATAAAAGGGGCACCTGAAATAAATTTAGCATTTCTCACGGAAAAAAAACATATTATACCAATTCCTATTCACACCCATTACTCATGTTGGTGCTCAGTGGAGGCACTGACAGCCTCATATGCATAGCAGTAGGAAGAACCTGGCTGAGGATTGATCCACACTGTGGACTACAGAATTGAGAAGAAACCAGTTTATAACTAGTGATGTAAGCTGGCATTCTTAGTTCGGCAGGGTAAACTCACACAGGCTCTCAAGTCTAGCATTGTTCTTCTCTATAAAGGGATTTCCAGAATGGCAAATAATACAGGTTTGTGGCTGCAGTGTTGTTAAATTTTATATTAATTTAAAACTCAAGATTTAACATTTAAATCAAAAGATATATTAATATAACTTTAGTATTTTTCCAATTTTCTAGAAAATATCAGAAATTAATGAAGCAAATAACCTACTGGTTCTTCAGCTGGAAAAATGTAACAGGTTGTTAACATTAAGCCAATCAAAGGAGGAATCAGTAAAAGAAGGTAAGTTATTTTTTTAAAAAACGGTATGGTTTCTGCAGATATTCAGGAAGTTCTGAGAAACATTTCCTTTCTTTTGAATCATGTAAAATACAAAAATAAAATAGCAAGGATCTAAGATACTGTGTGAAAAACAGTAATGCTTAATCTTGGGTCCTGTAATGGCATCCATCTCATTTGCATAAACCAGGTAACTATAATCCACAAATGTATCTTGAGAATAGCATTAAAGTAACTGTTTTCCAGTTGATGTTAAAATCCATCCACTTTAAGAGATTTTTGAGTGCATGCAGTACCTATGAAAGAAAAAATTTCCTATTGTATTTTCTTTCATTTTTTCCTCTTTCAACCTTTTTCTTATGACAGTGTTACCTCCTTTTCCAAGGAAACAAGGTGTTGGCAGGGAGAGAGGGAAAGGATCAAATGAGCTTGGTACACCTGATGATGTTATTGTGCCCAGATGTTTACCTTTCCCATCCATACAGGCCTCTTGAGCTTCTTGTGAACTGCCACAGTTTACAAAGTCAGCATTTTTAAGCAAACTAACATCAGTAGTTTTACTTAAAGTGCTAGCCCGTGACTTGTGTTGGTCCATAAGCAGCTCAGATGTCTGTGTAGAACAACAGGGTGAACATTTGGGAAAAGTAAGGTCATGACTGACACTATCGTTCCCCCAGCTGAGCTGTTCCATTGATATCGGTATGACAAATGTTATATTTCACCTGGTCACCAGAAATGTTTTGCCTAATGACAGATGAGCCAGATGCATTTTTGAATGTGTATTTTGCTGCCTTCTGAAATGTCAAAGCTTGCCTGTAATGGGAGATGGCATGTCAGGCTGGTGAGGCCGGTGGTCCAAGATAACAGAAAGAATTATATTTCTTAGTTGCTTGTGTGATTTGGTTTGTTTAGGGACAGTCTGGTAGCCCAGTTTGGGGTTTGGAATACATTTTCCCTGTACCAAGCTGACAGATATATTGAAGTTTTAGTATTCCTCCTTGAGTTTTACTCATTTAAATTTATTCTGTGAGGACCTTGCGTATTGGTGGAATCTTAGTGTCTTGTTCTGTCTAGGCATCTGTTTAACTTCTAGAATACTGAAGAGCTGTCCAAAGTGATTTTTATGTGTGTGAGATTTAATCTCTGAAGAGGTCAGATTAAACAGTGTGACAGCCCATTTTGTGTTTATAATGTCACTGTCAAGATTTTTTCTCAGTGACATTTCCAACTAGGTTATAAAGTGTAAGGAATAGCATATAATGCTTCAAGGTTGAGTTCAATTAAGCTGATAGCACTGTTGTAAGTTTATTCCATAAACTGCACTTGTGTTGCTGTCAGCTTTAATGTGATCCAAGTTTTGGTCGTATTTCTTTTGCTTTGTATAGCAGATGTCATTTTGGTGCTAAATAGTTATGAATGGTAATAATAGTTTATATTAATAAGGGTATTCAAAATGTTCAATGGAAGCTAAATAATGAAATGGCATTTACTATTTTACAGATGGGAATTTTAAGCCTCATAATAAAAAAGTTGCCAACTAAAGGAGGAAGTAAAAAGAAAACTATTAAATTAAGATTTTTTTTAAAAGAAATGTAGAACTATCTCTCTTCAGATGGTTATTTGAAAAGAGAAATAGTATCTAGTACTTAGCCTAGATTAGTGGTTGCTTATTCTTCTGTAGTTTGTAGAGTTGCTGAAAGGTGCATCTTCTTGTAGAACTTTGGTCTCTGACAAGTCAGCTTGCTACAAGTTACGAAGCAGGGCAGGAATAAACTTAGTTTCACGCTGGAGTGAGATTGCCAGTTGGTTTTACTTAGATCTTCGCTGGGACTTAAATAATTTAGCATAATCAGAAATGAATTGGAAAAGCTGTTGAGTGAGTGAAGTTTGCTAATGATGCTAATCTATGCAGTTATACCAAGAATCTCATGATACAGAATGATAAGTGATAAAAAGGGGAGATGAAAACCAGTAGCAATACATATAGGACACATTTTATATAAAGAGTGATTGGATCCAGTTGGGTACTTCTCAGGAAGGAGATCTTGGTGTCCTTCTGGACAGTGCTCTGAAAATGTTGGTGGTCTAAAAAGCAAACACAGCGATAGACATGATTATGGAAGAAATAGAGAACCAAACATCATGTTTCTGTAAAGTCTGTGATTTTCATGTAATGTTCTGGTCCCCAGTTTTCAAAACAGACGTACTAGAAGTAGAAAAGATAACAGAGGAGGTGGCAAGGTTTGGTGGTGTCAGGGAAGAGCAAGGGACAGGGAACTGGGAACCAGTCATGTAACAAGGCCCACAGGGATGAGGGCTCCACCAGCTGAGGCTTAGTCCCACTGTACCCGTGTAGGGCTGGCCCAGTGAGGGCTGCCAGGGTCAGCCAAAAGTCCACATTACCGAACAAGTACGTAGTGATGGAGCAGGTCCAATGTCAAGACAGGAGTCTGAGTTGGGATCAGGTCCAGAAATGGTAACAAGGGTCAGACATAGTCTAGTGATCACTGGCAGGTCCATAGTGATGAGGCAGGTCTGAAATGAAGCCAGGAAGTCACTCCCTAGGTCATGGCCAGGGTCTAGGTCTACATGGTATGTGGCTGCAACACAGCTGTAGCATAGCTCAAGGTAGGCCAAGGGCAAAAGCCTCAGCTTAAAAGCAACTCCTAAGGAGAGGAGGGGCAGCCATTTCTGAGTCTTATCCCAGTTTTCTTCAAACAGCTTTTTTCAAGGTCACCAGCTGCACTCATTTCTAAGTTGGCCTTGAGCCCAGCCAAACGCCCAGGAGGTGGGTGGGGGAGAATGCACTTGGGGCCCTCACAGGTTTGGTCACAATTTTGGAACATCTGAAGAAAGACTTAAGTTGACTGGAAACTTTTCAGCCTAAAGAGAAAGAATAGAGCTGATATGACTCATGATTATCTAAAATTATGAATGGTATAGAGAAAGTGACTAGGGAATGAATATTTGCTGTTCAATGTAATAAGAGAACTAGATGGAAATCAAACTTATTGATTGATTTAAAGCAAACAAAAGGAGGAACTTTTCCATACATTACAAAATAAAGTTGTTAAATAATTCCACAGAGGCTTGCAGATAACAGAAGTATAGAAAAGTCCAAAAAGATTAGAAAAATTTGTGTAATAAAACATAACAAATTTGTTAAACACAAAGACAGTACCTGTCACTCAGGTATCCCTTATTCCTGTGTTTTGGAAACTGAGGGGATATATTAAGGGTAGTGTTAATCCAGCTTTATTCCCTCTTTCCTGAAGCATCTTCTGCTGGGTATTGTGAAGTGGGATAGTGAACTGGATGGAACCTTGGTCTGACTTATTAGAGCCATTCATTTCTCTGTTAAGCACAAAAGACAACACAGGACAGTCATTCAGAAATAGATCAAGAGGCTTCATTATTGGCAAAGCCAGGAGGGGGTTTATACAAAATAGATTTTTTTAAAAAAAAGGAAAGGAAAAGGTGGACAAAAAGAAGAAATTACTCTTACCATAAAATCTATGGGATAAAAGATAGCCGAGACAGTGAAAAAGACAACGCAGGAAATCGGAGCAGCTGGGATGACTGCAACAGGGACTGTGGAAGTAGAATGGACTTCAAATAGATGAAAATCAGAAGAGAGATTTGAGCTTTGTAAATAGTAGTGCCTCACTTCGATGAGGTAAGAGTGAAATGATTTGAGGAGATAGTTATGCTGGTATAACCAAAGAGAACGACCTCTGGAGCTGTTTTGAAACACATGATGGGGAAAAAAAATGTGGATGGCAGAAGTCCAAGTAAAAATACCAGAGCAATCAGCATGAAAGATGAACTGAAGTTTTAGCAGCAGGGATAGTCAGGAAAAACCAAATCTCAGTAATATTAAAGTCATAGTAGTTGTACAAGTTAGTACAGCTATAGATAGGAGGCAGAATTGTTGGAAGCCAAGGATAATGGTCAATGAGTAAGAGAGATTGCAGAGCTGTTAGTAACGAAAAAAGTGAAAAGCAAGAACTTGGAACAACATGGGACATCCAAGAGGTGGTTCTGAAAGCTACTTGGTGATAAGGAAGTAAAAAGTAAATGAGAGATGCCAAAGGGATAGAATGTATTTAGAAATTAAGACAGTTATCGTGGCTGTTCTGTTAAGTTACACTTCAGGTGTCATGGCATGAAGTGTTTATAGGTTTATATTGTTGAACTGATTCATTAATGTTGATGAGAGAACAGTTTCACAAACGATCTTGGGCAGCAAATTGCCATAATCTGCAGCAGATGCTGTCAGAGGAATCTTCCGGTAAACAGTTACCATGTTACTGGAGATCAGTAGTGACTGTAATGTTAAAAGTGTTTCAAAAAGACATTACAGTTGGTGTAGTGATTAGAAATTATATTAAGTATATAAGGTTTCTAAAGCATTTTGCTTTTTCTTTTTGAAATTGATAGAAATGGTCTTTGTGCCTCTGTCAAATTCATCTGCAACGTTGACCCTTCAGAAGGAGTAATGGCATACAGTGTATTCAGAATCAGAGGACTAGAAGTGTTGCATCTAGTAGTTTGATTCTTTGTAAAACCTTTTTGAAAGTCAAAGCACTGTGGGATTGTGGTGGTTTGACTGTGGCTGGATGCCAGGTGCCCACCAAAGCCGCTCTATCACTCCCCTTCTCAACTAGACAGGGGAGAGAAAATATAACAAAAAAGCTCGTGGGTCAAGATAAGGACAGGGAGATCACTCAGCAGTTACTGTCAGGGGCAACACAGACTCAACTTGGGGAAAATCAGTTTAATTTATTACCAATCAAAATTGAGTAGGAGAGAGGAGTGAGAACATGCGTAGGGCAATGAGAAATAAAACCAAATCTTAAAAACACCTTCCCCCCACCCCTCCCTTCTTCCTGGGCTCAACTTCACTCCTGATTTTCTCTACCTTCTCGCCCTGAGCAGTGCAGGGGGACGAGGAATGGGGGTTGGGGTCAGTTCATCACACGTTGTCTCTGCCTCTCCTTCCTCCTCAGGGGAGGACTCCTCACACTCTTCCCCTGCTCCAGCAACCACGGGAGACAGAACTCCACGAACTTCTCCAACATGGGTCCTTCCCACAGGCTACAGTTCTTCATGAACTGCTCCAGCCTGGGTCCCTTCCGCAGGGTGCAGTCCTTCAGGAGCAGACTGCTCCAGCGTGGGTCCCCCACAGGGTCACAAGTCCTGCCAGCAAACCTGCTCCAGCCTGGGCTCCTCTCTCCACAGGTCCACAGGCCCTGCCAGGAGCCTGCTCCAGTTTAGGGCTTCCCACGGGGTCACAGCCTCCTTTGGGCACATCCCCCTGCTCTGGCGTGGGGTCCTCCCCAGGCTCAGGTGGATATCTGCTCCACCATGGACCTCCCTGGGCTGCAGGGGCACAGCTGCCTCACCATGGGCTGGGGCACAGCTGCCTCACCATGGGCTGCACCAGGGGCTGCAGGGGAATCTCTGCTCTGGTGCCTGGAGCACCTCCTGCCCTCCTTCTGCACCAACCTTGGTGTCTGCAGAGTCGTTCCTCTCACATATTCTCACTCCTCAATCCAGCTGCAGTTTGTGTCCCTGTCCCGGTGGGGTTTTTTTTCCTGCTCTTCTTAAATATGTTATCACAGAGGCGCTACCACTGTTGCCAATTGGCCTGGCGTTGGCCAGTGGCGGGGGTGTTTTTGGGCCGCCGGGGCGTCGGTTTTTTTGTGGAGCCAGCTGTCATTGGCTCTGTCAGACATAGGGGAAGCTTCTAGCAGCTTCTGACAGAAGCCATCCCTGTAGCCCCCCTGCTACCGAAACCTTGCCACGCAAACGCAGGACAGGGATTTAAAAAAACACTCTTTATTATTGATGGGGTGATACAGGGATCCTGTGCCGAACTGGAGAAGGTGCAAGGGACCAGATGTAGCATTGATACTTCGATTCTTACTCTGGTAACAGTTATTCCAACAGATTCTAGTTGTGAGAAAGGCTTTTATACAGTGATATTTCCAACTGTGGCTTGGAAGAAAGGATTTCTCCTAGCCTTATGTCCCAAGCTGCTTCCCAGAACCCAGCTCAGCCACATTTCCTGAAAGTATCATATGAAGCGTTGGTCCAAAAGCAGCTGAAATTGCTGAGTTTGGACAGCTGCATCAATTTCTTGATGAACAGTGTCAGCCTACAGTCTTAATGTATGTACATTCTCAAGTTCATCCTATTACGAATTTAACACGAGAGCAAATAAATTTACAGGATAGGTAAACAACTCAGCCTTAGAATGTAAGGCTTAGCAGTAGACCACAAAGCAATTCACAGAACAGCTGAGGAAAAAACATGAGAGACCACATGCTGGTGAATGGTTCACATATGATTCCAAATAAACATGCTGCTTACAGCAGAGGAGCAGAGAGAAAGAGCACTATGGAAGGAGAGGCTGTTGTTCTGCCTAACTGGAAGGGTTTGTGGCTGCTGGTGGTGGGGGCGTGGAGGAAGTGGAACTTCATCCTGGCTGGAGAACTCTTTGTTAGTATGAGAAACAGAAATAGGAATAGCATTTCGCTCCCCAAGAAATCTCCAGGAAGTATAAATGAGAACCTGAGGGCTCCTTGATACCTTGATTGCCAGAAGTCTCTCTCTAGAACTGTTTAAGGGAAAAGAAGAGTGGGAGTGCTGAAGGAAATGCAAAGGAAGAAGAAAAACTTCTAAAGCTCAGGGGAGAGAGGAGAGTGAAATACTGTAACCAAAGATAAGGTGGGAAAAGGTGAGCAACTGGGCAAGTGTATACATGTTCTGAAAGGTCATAAATGAGCTTTGTTTTGTCCTGATATGTTCTTTGCTAAACAAAGGTGAGATTCAGGACAACAGTTTTTGTTTAGTGTAAATTGTTGCAGATCCACTTAAGACAGATGCAAGTCTAGCATTTTTGGTTTCTGCTCCTAAACTTTTTCTGTGGTGACCAAATGGACTCTTGTGGTGCAGGTTACAATTCTGAACTAAAATTTACTGTAGTTTCTAAAAAGAAAGCAATCACATTATTGTTTATGGAACACTTAAGGTGGCTGTATTTAGCATCTGCAGGATTGCCTATTTGTTGACTTAGTGTTTCAAGGGTGTTAAAGGAAAAAGTGGTTGATTTAATCACCCTACTAAAAAAAGCCAATAGCTTCAATTATAAATGCAGATGGATGAAACTGCAATAAATTATAGATATTAAACATGGAAGAAAAGACCTTAGGCTGTTCAGTCTTTCTGCGTGTAGTGAGTATTCTTTACAGGGAAGGAACCACACAGAATCTGTAACAGATGCTATGCCAACAATCCACAAAGCTGCAACCATTTAGCAGAATTTTTCTTTTTCTTCTTTAATGTAGGCAAGCAAAATTTGTGGGTTCCCAGTAATTTTTCCAGTCACAACTATAATTACATAAGGGATTTGCCAAGATACATCCTGTAACGATAAGAAAGATAAGCAGATATTCTTGCGACTGGGCAAAACAGTGGTTTGCACTTAAACAGCTGTGAATCATTGTAAGACTAGCTGCTGTCCTGTTGTTTACTCAAATGCATAGATGTCTTTCCAATTCGTGCATGAATTATAAACATTTGGGTTTATTTCCATAGGTTTTCAAATGGGAGAAAATCTGTAGTAGAACTAGTTGGTACAAATGGGGATGCTAACCTAGTGCTTCGGATTTTGAATAGGATTTTTCCACAAGTGCTTCTGATCCAGTACAGGAAGTGAGGGCAGGCAATGTTTCTGTGCTGTTCGTGCTCCCTCTACTGTTTTTTTGGAAGCATGGAACCGGAGAATTTAGCTGGCTAATGTACTCGGCTGCATGAAAAGTGGACTTGATGGAAGAATAGACTAAAGGTCAAAAAGATTGAGTGGAAAACTGAATCTCTGAGCTGGGATCTTAATTCATCTTCCTGACTCCATTATTGCTGATGTAGTCTTTAATTACATCATCTACAATTTTCAACAGAGCTTTGGTCTTTTGAGATGAGTAACTATTATTTAGTGTACTTGATCTGTTGCGGAAATTAAAAGCCACTTAAGAAATGCACTAGTACTCTGGAAGTAGAAACAGGTTTTAAGGGTAAGACCCTCAGTTTTAGTGTCCCATCTTCCCAGTCTGTGAATGTTTTGTAACTTTACTGATAAGTTTGCAAGGAACATAAGGGATAAAAATAGTATTTAATGAAAACCAAATGTTACATTGCAGGCAGTCCATATGGCGTCAAATATTAAAAATACAATCAAAAATTATGAAATATAAATATGTAAACTGATAACAAGTTGCATGTATATACATACACACACCCATAATTATTTCGTTTAAAATGAGATAGTGGGGATTTAGTAGCATATTCTGAATCTCTCCAAGTTTATGTTGAGGCACAAGATGAATGTTAATATGCACTAAAAAGGGGGTGAGAGACTGCAATGAGTTGATAATGCTGGTCTTGTTAAAAAGGATCTTGGCAAAAATGCTGTCAGGAAAGCAAGCCTGAGTTTCATTAATTACATCAAATTGCTGGAATGCTGATATGGAAAACTTCCATTATTGCCCAGAAAACAATAACATCCTTATTTTCTGGCTAGAAACAAAAATGTAACAGTTGTATAAAATTGTTCGTATTGCTTGATTTTTTTTTTTAATTATTGTCAAACTAAAAGCTAAGATTAAGCAGTAATCATGCAATAATGATCTGAGTTATCTGTATAGTCAGTACAAAGACTTAGACTAATATTCAATCAAGATAATTATAAAATATTGGAGAAAAGTTTATAAACAAAATACGAAATTAAAATGGGGAAGAAATCATTAAAAAATACTGGATTTTTTGCTTCTTTTAGAATGTACTACTCTACAGAATGTGATAAAGGGTCTTACACAAACCATTGAAAACCAGTGTAATGTGAAAGGTAAAAGCAAAAACGTTCATATATATCCTGTACTGTAATTTGGAATGAGCATGCATTTAAATTTTTTGTTCATATTTACCATTTTTTTCAGAGAAAGAAACTCACTGGCAGCCAAACAGAAAGGAAAAAAAAAAAATCTAAAATCAATCCTGTGCAGATTTTGGTGGTCTATATGCTTAATAAATGTCTATTACTATTATCCTACTTAGAATCCACATGTAAAAGAAGTTCTGTCCCAGTGAGGTTTTTTTAATCAACAGCTGGGCTTTAAATTTATTTCAGCATGGCACAGGCAATTTTACAAAAAGTGAGAAAGTATCATTTAACTGGTGGACTGTAGTCTGTTAAAGCATTTATGCATAGTTTTTATCACTTTGTTAAACCATAGAGTCTTAATCTCAGTGTAATGTTATTAAAACTTAGCTGTCCATAAATACTTGAAAATTACTCATTGCTATTTTAAAATAAAATATATAAATATTTGCTGTATCTTTATACCACAGTTTAGCTGTACGCCATGTAGTTGATTTTATACCCATTGTGTGTTCAAGGCGTATTAGCATAAATACTAATAAGCCTCTAAAAATTGGAAGTATATGGCTGCTTTTAATACTCAAAGTGACTTTTAATAATCAAAAAAAGCATTATCTGCTTTTTTTAAATTCTGGTTTGGGGATACTACTTTCCAGGTTTTGAGAAACAAGTACTTAAAAAGTTGTGTCTTCCAATTCGAAACTGTTGTAGTCATGATAATAATCTTTTATTTTCTGAGCCAAAGAACTTTCCATCTAGATTTTATTGAATGAATCCGTTATCAGAAGGCTAAAGACAGTTCAAAGTAGTAATACCAGGCAAATACTATGATTAAACTATGAATTTTCTTGTTAAAAAAATTGAGACTGAGATTATGTAGTTCTGTAAATGATGATTATCACGTCTACAAAAAAGTTTCTTAAACTTCAGACAAGTCAAAAAATGAAAGTAATTTCCTTATTCTGCTTTCATGCTAATAATACTGTCAAAATGTACTTTTTAGTGTATCATATAGTTTTTTTATTTACACAGATGAAAATGATAGACTGAAGGGTACCGTTCACATCTTGGAAGAGAAATTAAAGGCTTGTGAACAGGTATGTCACAAGTGATCACTCTTTAGGTAGAGGAATAATATTTTATCTCTATTGTAGTAGTTCATATATCTTTATATATCATGTTACTGATACCATTATTGTTGCACTTTTCCTAACGTTTTATCATATATAAGAAGAGAAGAGTTATTCTCATGACATCAATATGAGAATGCGTTAGAGGGACTAAGGTCAAAACTACTAAGTGCTGAGAACTCTGGCTCAATCTAAGATACACTTGGGTTTTTTAGCTGTATTTAGCTTTAAATTCAACTTTACATTCTAAAAGCTAATCCTTGCATTAAAGTACATTAAAGTACATTTTTGTGTGGAAATAAGGTTTTGATACTCAGATGCCTGCTGTACTGCCAGAGAATCAAGAACTGTCTGAATTTTGTCTATAGTTTCTTTGGGACTAAATGGCACAAAGATAATAGGTCTCTGTCTCCTAATAAATTCCATTTACCATCTCTCTACTTTTGATCTATGCCACTCATTTTTTGGAAAGGAGGTAACACCAGCAGGGCTAGTCACAAGATGTGTTAATTCTCTGTGGTAAGATTGCACATCTGTTACCTGTATAGGACTAGGAATCTCACTGCTGATTTTCTTTGCCTGTGTTTGTACTAACTATGAGTTAAAATTAAATTGTTACACCAGTAGAACAGTTATCTTGACAGAATCAAATAAGTAATGCCTTCTGAAAGACAGGAGTAAACTATGATTCTATACATTCTATACATGTATGGGCATGGTGGAGCTTCCTGGTGTTGCTCTGAAGGCACTTACTTGACTACGTCTACGTACGCTATTACCACCAATCAGTAACTGCCTTTGTGAGTGCCTCCGAGCACTGCTCTGGTGAGTGGCTGCCTACCTTGTCGGAAGGCTTTGGAATAAGCACCTCTGCGCTGGCAGCTACAGCCAATTCCTCAATAATTCTGGAGTACTTACTGGAGCAAACATGTAATAGGTGTGTTCAATCTGTTTACTTGAATATCAGTGCCACCAGCATCACTAGTGCTGATACCACTGATGTTTCTACTGCTGCCTGTATGAAGTTGTGGAAAACTTTCTATAAGCAATATTAACAAAACTCATACTTTAAATATGATTTTTGTTACACAATCTTGCAGTCAAAAATCCACAGAAGTAGAACTGTAGTCACTAACTAACTGCAGCACTGTATCGGATCCTGGATTGAGGAAAAGGAATATTACCTCTCCATTTGCCTGTTCTCCTAATAAGTATAATTTGTAATTGTATATTAACTGATAGCTGTAATACAATGAAATCTGCTACAATTTTCATCTGTGGACTTCAGCCAGATTGTGTTGGAAGTAATTGGGCATTTTGAATTTACTGGATTGAGGATAAACCAAGTACTGAATTATAGAATCATAGAATTGTTTAGGCTGGAAAAGACCCTTAAGATCATCCAGTCCAACCATTAACGTAACATCACCAAGTCTACTACTAATGGAGTACTGTACATTTTGACACGAATGTTGTGCTTTGCAGAAGGCTAAGAGCACGGACACCTCAAGATTTTTATGAAGCTTTTTGCATTTGCAGGAATATAAAGATCAGATTGAGAAACTTATGATAGAAATTAAAAACAAAGAGGAAGACCACAAATTAGAAATAACACAGATGAATTGCGATATAAGAAGAAAAAGTAAGTTCTCTGAAGACTGAATGCTATAGCATTGGGTAAAATGTGTTGTAACCTTTAGGAGCTATACTTCATCTAGGATAAGTACAAGTTCCACTTCTTATTGGAAACGTGAAAGCTAGAAGTGGACAATGTTTAACTGAATTTTATCTTTCCTCAAAGGAGTAGATAGTGTCAATGAGGCAACAGTACAGCAACACAGCATGAGCAGAAATTCCCAAACAGGTTGAACAGACACTGGGAACTTGGACCTAAAAATCTGAAAGAATGAAATTTTGGGTTGTGCATTGGCTGGAAAATTGCTTTGAACTATAAGCTAGACTGCTGTTAGAGTGTTCCAACTATGCTCAGGAGAGTAAGACATTATTTCACAAAAAAACAATACTGCAATGAGGAAAAACTGATTTCAATATTGATTTTTTTCATTACTGGCATAGCCTTGAAGAATAGGATTTTTTGGTTGTCCACTTAACTGAAAAAAGCCAGATAAACTCTCTGTAAAATACGATGCTTCTTAAATGTACTCCATCTTACTGGGATAGGACAGGGTGGTTTTCACATAGTTTTAAGGTATGTTTTTTGCTTGAATGAAATTGTTATCCCATGAAATACTGACCTGCTGTTCAAAAAATTTTTAGTCTTTGGGAAATGATGTTATTTTTCCATCTAAACATCTTCTGTAATCATTGTATTTGGTGTTACTGTGTTATTAGTTGAAATAAAAGAAGTGGAGTATAGAGAACAGAGAGAGAAAAAAGAACTGGAAATCTTAGAGCTAACTAGACAGCTGAAAATTCAAAATGAAGAGAAGCAGAATGAAATAATTAAACTGCAGATAGAGGTATGCATTACAAAGCTTAGTTAAAGACCAGTTGGGCATTGGGTAAACTCAGAAGAGACTGTGTAGTGAAAAATGTTAATTAGTACTTAACAAAATAATGTGATGGAATGTAGGAAGCTTAAAAACCGATTGTCTTTGCAAAGATGAGTGGCGTGTGTTCCCTTCCATAATGGTATGAGTTACTTCTGCTCAGGAATAGAGTTCTATCCACTATAGAGAGACTTGTTTCAAATTAAATTATTTTGACAATTTTGCGAGTTTTTGAGCTATAAAAAATTTAAACAATGTTTTCTGCTTATTTTTATTCCTTTTAATTTCTGAATGCTGAGAAGATACATTTTTTAATAGACTTCCAAGAGCTTAAAGTCTTCCAATCCTGCAGAGATTTGAGCCACAGAATTCAACGTGTATTTCATGGCTCAGGTTTTAAGCCACTCTCATTACAGGAAAAAATAAGGAAATACTTCAAATATTTCACATATTAAAAAAGAAATAAGGTGTAAAATTGTTGAGGCTGAGTTATCCTTGGAACAAAGGGAAGTGTGATGGTTTCAGAGGCTTTTAGCATCCTCCTGCAGACATGTGGCTGTGGAGCATTCAAAATTTTTTTAGCAGTCTTGTTCATCTAAATGTATATGGATTATAATATTTGTACTGTTTACTTTTTGCCATATTTTGAAACTTTTTTAAGCAACATAATTTGTAATTGCATTCTTTTTTAAATAAATGTAAGTAGCTTCATTGTCCTAGGATGAATAGTACATAACTTTGCTATTACTACTTTCAGGTACAAAATCCATTAAAAAAAAGTGAAAATGATACTTTTTTTCCTGTTGGGTTCTTAATGTTTTGTCTTTTCCTGATTCTTTCAGTTCAATGCTAAATTAGCAAGAGTTCAAAATAAAACAACAAAATCATTTTCAGATGCTTCTGTTTTGCCGCAAAGTATCTATCGAAGGGTATGTGCTTTAATAGCCTGTAGGCAGCAGATGCTACATACTGTTGCAGCCTGTTTCATACAGCAGTTCTCTGCGGTTTTCCTGTGTTTGTTGGGCAACAAAACTTGGCAGGGGGAAGGGAGTTTCATGCCTTGGGGGTCCATCTTACTTACTCTCCCCCACATCCCTCCCACCTCTAGACAACTGATTTCATGTCTCTTTGTACTGATGTTGATATAGCTGGGATTCAACAACAAAAGCCCACGTATGCAGTGGGTTTAGTACAGAATTGTTAACTTGGGAACTTAAGATAGAACTGACATAAATGACTGTGATATAAATTATGTATGTGCATTATTGGCTTTGTAGGCTTGGGACTTTGGGATGTCACAAAAATAGGATTCTGGGGAAGTTATCTTTGTAACTTTGTGATACAACATACTGAGAAAAATATTCTTATTAGAATATTTCTTATTAGAATATTTCTCATTAGTAATAGCATATTGTATTGTTACATAATTCTATGTGATATGTAACCATGAAGCCTTTGCTTGCATTTTTACAGAAGCTGCAGCATCTCCAGGAGGAGAAAAACAAGGAAATTGAAATTCTCCGAAACACTGTAAGAGACTTAGAGCAACGTCTTAATAAAGGCCAAGACTTGCAGTTCAAACGGAGGTGGTTTTGAGTAAATGACTTGAACTATTTCAGTAGTACATACAATGAGAAATAGAAACAGTATATTCCAAACTGTGCACCTGAAAGTAAAAACAGGATACGAAGAAATAAGGAGTATTTTTTATTGGAAACACTCTTGTCAAATATTCCAATGACATGCCTTCTGTGTGTATTCAGGGCTACTTTCTTGCTCATCAGCATTCACAATAAAAAGATTCAGGTTTCGTAGGAGTAATAATTTCCCTATTAAACCGTCATTAATTATGGTGTACACTTTCAAAGCAGCTTTTCTTTCTTGAATATTCTCTTCTTCATCCAGGAATCCTTCAGACAACTGTATTTTTACTTCAACTCAGTTAATCAAAGGTTAGGAATGCTAAGCTACAGACAGAGAAGTTATATAAGTTTAAGTGGTATATTACCTTACTAATCAATACAGGTTTCTCAAATTCAGCACTGTTATAAACAAAGATAAGCATTAAACCAAGATTAAATTTGTTGTGCCCCTCCCTCTTTTTGATACTGATTTTGCATGAAGAGTTGTTAACACTGCTTCTCACTTCAGGCACAATCTTACTCATTCAATAGGATTTTACAAGCTGTAGTAGTATGTATTAATGGACCCTGATACTGTATCTAAGCCACAAAAGTTAAGCATATAAATCTGTTACTTTAAAATAATGCAAGTACTGCTTGTATCTTACGTTTGAGATAAAAAGTTATTTTGGCATGTTGCTTAGGAATAAGCTTTTCTTGTACATAATTTGTATCCCTCGGTTAGAAAAAAAAAAAAACCCACAAACTTTTGAATATATTCCATCTTCTTAATAAAAAACGATTAAAATATCTGTTTTGGTTATCTTCTATTCTTGATTGCAAAACATCAGACAGGAACCCCTAGGTCATAGTTTATGCTCCTGTCCTCACAAATGCAAGCAGAATGTTAGAAGACAAACAAGAAAGACAAATTAATCAAGAATGCAGACACCTTTGCAGTGCAACTGAAAAACAAACTGCGGGTCAATGAAATTCTGTTAAATTATGAAGCTTTTCACTGGTGGAATTTGACAGGTATTGTGTAATTCTAAGAGCACTGCTCTAAAACTCTACTTCTTTGCAATATTTTAACTCTATGCACCTGTCAGTACAATTTTTAACTGGGGGCAATAAAAACACTTCATCTGTTAATTTTTCCACTCTCACAACTATATGAATTTGGGTAGGTGGACTCTTGCATTTTTAAGGTGCTTAGTTTGTTTTTCAGGCTCAGTTTCTTGCCTTTTCCTGTCACTCTCAGGTGTCACTAGTTTCGCTTGCTGCTGGTGACTGTCAGGCAGCAGTGAGCAGACGTCACTGTCAAGATTCAGTGATGTCCTCTGCTGGCAGCTGGCCATGTCACCTGCAAGAATTTGGAAGTGCTCCGCGACACTGTCAAGTGACAGAATTTCCTAGCTCTTCAAACAAAAGGTGTCGTCAATGACAGCATCAGCTACTAGAAGTTGAGTCTGATGCTGTCTGCCAATTTCAAGTTAACTGGTTTTTACAGCTGGTCTTCCCTTTTTTTCATAGCTTTTTATCTTGTGTAATTTCCACACTTTCCCCTGCAGGAACAGTGTCTACCTGTTCATGATTACCTGTCTGATCATGTCTGTTACGGCCAAAAACTCTACGACGCTGACCACTGTGAGGATGATGTCTTTGAGTTTCAGAAGAAGCCTGATGGTTCTCATTTTTGGAATGACGACTGCCCTCGCGGTGGTGGTGTTGTCTATGTCTGTGCAGGCTGTGGTGATGTGAATGTTGACCAGTTGGCTTGGGTTCTATCTCTGTTAGCTTTTCATCTGCTTTTTGTGTGATGTTTTTACATACACCATCAATATCAGGTTCCTGCAAAACAGAAGCTTGCATTAAATACAAGGTATTACATTTAATTAAACTAGGCATAAAATACAAATTATCTTAGCATTTTTGCAGAACCTGAAACCCATTTTTAAATTACTTGTGCTACTTTGCTGAAGAAAGATATGAATGTATCAAAAGGAACCTTGTTCTACAACACCACTGATAACTAGTCAGGGCTCTTAATGTAAACTTTTAGGAATTATAATTCAAGTAATTGCTAATAAAAAGCATTCTTTTTCTAGGATCCCACTTCTGACCTGCCTGAGGCCTACATTTAGCTGGAAAACTGACAAGATCAGAAATTATGTTTCTTCTCATTGAACTTGAATGACTGTGTATGTACATTTCTTTATAATCTTTAAAGTAGTTCTGATCTTTAGTTACATGTAAAACAGAGCTTCCCTTTTTTTAAAATGGTAACAATAATTTGTCACCTTGTGTTACCACTGTTTTAAAGTAACTGTTGTATACTGTGTTTAAATGTAAACTGAAAGGAATAGTAACTCAAACCAGCTCAGATTTGATTCACGTGTTTAAAAAAAAAAATACTACTTGTTGAAGTACCTAGCCATCCCCAAAAACTACAGTAGCTAAATGCTCACTAGTTGTATGTGACTCCAGAAACAGAATTAGCCTCCAAGATTGCATTAGCCTCCAAGATTGCATTTAGATTTTTGAAAATTATTTTCATCTCTGTCAAGGGCAGGAATTTAGATAATCAGTCTACTATAAATTAGATCTGATTCACTTTGAAAAAATGTTTAAAAGCTCTCTGTCAAGACACATGAAATGTGTAGATTCTAAATCATGTCTTTTTGGATTAATCACACTGAAATATTTTTTTAAGTACCAGTCAAACCCAGTTTCCTTTCCTAGTATATGCAGAATGAAACAAGGAAGTACCGTGTAAGAGCAGTTTCCACACTTGTTTTCACAGTATGCAATCTTAATAGATTCTTCTACATATTGGAAAGACAGGAAGGAATAGGGCAGACCCAGGTGATACACTAGACGGCCGCATCTAAGGAGAGAAAGAACTTTGTGGTTATGTGTACATATACCTAAAATGAAGTATCTCTTCTTATCATATCTTATTTTATTCACATCAATCTGCCCACACTGTACAGTCTCATGGAGAGTGTTTCTGTCCAAGGAGTTTACAGGCAAAAATAGTATCTGCCTTACAAATGTTTGCCCACTCAACTGCATCGGTCAGTAGTGCGAAGCATGGTTTCTGGCTGACGTAATAACTCTACTGGCAGAAGCCTCTAGTTTAGTGGCACTTAGAGTAGCAAAGGTACACTCATTACAAGCCTGTCTTGCTGTCCTGGTTTTGGCTGGAATAGAATTAATTTTCTTCTTAGTAGCAGGCATAGTATGACACTTGCTAATGACGAGGGCTGTTTGCACAGTGGTACAAATTGCCACATGGTTGTTGCATCCTTACAAAGAATGTTTTAATGCAACGTAACATGTATTTTGATTGGAATGTGCATTGCAGTGCATCTGCATTACTGATTCAGTGTGGATGAGGGGATTTTTATGGTGCCTGTTTGCCCCTTGTCTGTACTTGAGTGTTCTGATATGCCCTTGGCTACACAACTGGTACATTCAAAGGAGCTGGAGTAAATGCAGAACTTGTACACAAGGGCACCTTGTTAAGTACCCCACCTGCAATGTCAACACACGGTCCTCCAGCCTTAGCTCCCTACACGTCTGCAGTGCATGTCTAGGACCAGCAACAGGCAAAGACTTCATAGCCAATAAAGGCACAATAAGGACATACATTCCTAGAACCATAATGGATCACAGCCAAACTAGTGCCAAACGAATTCAGAGTATACATGTATACTCCGTGTTGACAGCGCAAAACTTCAACGTTGCAAATGCTGCGGGACAGGCGTCAGCTTTGGGGCCCCTCCACAGACTGCATACAGCCTTGTTCTGTTTGTCTGTCATAACAACAGCAACCTTCCATACTTAGGCGTATTTGCTGCTGTAACATGCAGTCATTTTCTTAAGATCATTCAAGTACTAGTTTCATCCCACAAGCCTAATTTAGCTAATTTGTTCAATTTCATCGTATTGCCAAAAAAAAGTAACTTTCTAATTCTTTATTAAACTTAATTATGCTTCAGTACGAACTGAGAATGTTCATTACAGCAACATAATAGTAATTAGGATGGACACATTAGAAGTGCAGGACTTGTCAAATAATTTCCATCACATCAAAACTGAAAAGTCAGGATTTCAACTGAAGAGTTACTACTGGTTCTGCCAGAAGATACATGTCCCAGAATCCCATGATCAAAAAGCTGTTTTCTTCCAAAGTTTTAAGTTTCACCTAAAGACTAATTTTTCCATATGGCTACATGACATTTTCAACAACTCTGGTCAAAATGTTTTCACGAGAACTCAGATAGCCCTTCCTGTTTGATTTTACTTTCACATGCATGGATGTAATGAAGTTGTCTGAAAATAAAAACAGTGTAAGACCAAAATCAAGCTATCAAATTTTACGTTCAGTTATATTAATCTAAATCCGCAGTAATTATAAAGAAAAATTTATTTATCCCAAACTTACTTAAGCAAAACCAGACTTCTTGAGGCTTCCTTTTTCCAGTAAATGCAAGTGCTTTAGCTAGTGCAACTTAGAAGTTGATTATGATGTCTCTGTTGTGAGGTAATCAGGTTATTTGCAAATCAATGAAATAGTAGAGAGATTTACAAAACATTACTCTAAGTACATTGTACCCCTCTAAACACAGACCTGTCATAGATGAGAAAGTCATCTTTGTTTCCATTTAAAGTAGTCCAGACATCAGCTTGCTGTTCATCTTGCTGGTAGACAGTAATATAGTCTGAAACACTTTCTTTCAGCAGGTGAAATTTCCTCTGGGAATAAGTTCCCTGATGGTTGACAACTACATACGAGATATTGACCAGTCCTTCATTCTGTAACTTCACTCGCAGGTCCTCCAATCTAGTGGAGAATGTAGAGAAGCAAGACCATAAATCATTAGAGAATCATAAGATGTGCCACGTTCAACAGAAGTTAATATGCTCCATCTTGCTTTGTAATGTAATTCCATTACAGCGAATGTTATTTTCTCCCAGTTTTAATGGCAACAATCTAACACTATTAAAACATTCTTGCCACGTGCCATGACTATCAACTATACTGTCACCAAACCAGACCCTAGTATGCCATGGGTCCTGTCATTGTAAGTAGAATGCAGTACCAAGTAAAGTAGACAGCTGTTTTCAGACTGAATTCAGTGTTATTTTTATTTCAGTTCTTTTACACTCTTCATGGTCTAACACAGTAAGTTTATGTGATGCCTTTATTTAAATGCTGAGGTTTTGGTCGCATAGCTGGTTAAACAATGCATACTGTAAATACAGCAGGAAGATGAATAATCAAGAAAGCAAACCTGCAGTAAAAGGCTGATAGCTCTCCCACTCATCTTAACAAGGCTATTTTCTATAATAGCCAGAAAAGGGATGTTATAGCAACTGGGTCAAAAGGATGGCTATAGAATGTGTGTATGACCTGGCTGGCAGTTATTAGTCTTTCCCTTTGGCATCCCATCACACAAGTCTTTCTTTTGCTCTGTAGTACAGAAAGCTGCTTTCTGGCTGTATGATGTGGGTTTTTTTTCCTTTTCATTTGTATCCTTCCTATTGAATTGCTCTAAAAAAAAACTTTTTTTTTTTTTCAGTTTCAGGAAATATTCTAGAGCTTGAAAGATTCTTTAAAACCTTTCTAAAATGTACAGAATCAAACCCAACTACCTTGAAAGCCAACCACAAAGACCACTTTTGACTCTGATGGAGACAGAGATTTATCACCACTTTTTCAAATCTAGTTCTTAAAAAACTTGCAAAGGCAATTATAATATGAAGTTATGCAGCTGAGAGAGGGAAACTAAGATGTTATTACAGTGATTAAAATCAAGCTCTGAAACCGGTACTATGAATTTTTAAACCAAAATGATTTCACAATCACTAAACGAATCCAAGATAAGGGCTGTATGCAATTCCTGTTTGGGTCAGCTCGAAATTGTTTTCTTGCTGCTGTTACTGTCATGATACCTAATTATTTGCACAGAAGTAGGTTCTAGAAACCACAGCACCAATGTCCCAGGTCTGGTATGAAAATATAGCACTGACAATTCCCTTGAATGCTTCATCTATACCTTATCTTCTGGACTTTTTCTTGTATCTAAACAGCCCCTCTGAACAGGGGCTGGGAAAGCACATTAAAAGCACATGTTTTGATTTGCCTTTTCCCCTACAGATCTTACGTAAGAAGTGAGTGATCAAGGATCTCTCTGTTTCAGGTGTTCTAGCCATGTCAGAGAATTATGATCTTTCTTGCCTACAGTGTCTTTGCTACATTAATCATTAGTTGCTAACTGAAGTGTAGCTCGTGAGGAACTGTTTGTGTTGGGTTTTCATGTTTTGGGTTTCATTAATGTCAAGTTGATCATACTTTTATGTTGTAAATACAATCTGGAGAAGATGATCTGTCAGTCAGGACTAAGTCAAGAGGTGAAAAAATCTGAGCCTCTGGCACAGAACGCTCCTGCTGAGAGTTAACCTGGTCACTGGGTCACACATGCCAGCTAGGACAGCGGCATTTGAGGAAGTTAGAGTTCACTGAGTGCATCTGTAGTTGGGCACATTTATTATCCTCAGATGGCATTAAAAAATTGACCAGTCATGTTTTAACAGAAACTGGGGAAAATATTTACACTTACCTGGAAGCCTGCAGCAGGCACAAGTATCAGCTAGCTTGGAGGAGAGCCACCACTGTTACTGAGCCCCTAGAGTTCAGCATTGGGTTCTCCTCCCCAATGTGCCATTCTGGGGGCTCCTTGCAGTTCTGGATCTCTGTCCCTCCTCCTGGGAGGAGACAGAGAGCCAGAACTAGCCCCAGCCCAGCCCACATGGCTGGGTTTTATCTGAAAAGAGAGAAAATAAATAAAATGAGATCGATGCCTAAACAAATTTCAGACTCTGAAATGCTCATAACAAAACACAGCAGGATATTGGCTCCATACAGTTTTAAAAAAAACTTTAAGAATAAATTTGAGCTATTTTGTTTACTGCTGGATTGTATTTGTTTCATTTTGCAGTGGAGTTCCCCTATAATAAATAGGCAGTATTTTTTTTTTGTTGTATGTAGACAGCTGAAAAGTTACGTGTTCAGAATAACTGGGTTTTCTTTTAATGCTACTAAACAGACTACATTGTTCCTTCCTCTTTGTAATTTCTTCTTGACTGTTTTTAACACTTCAGTAATTTTAAAGTGGCCTCATTTAATGTGTTTTGAAATCAATTGTTCTGAGCTAGTTTACACCAGTAAGAATCTAGACCTGTTTGCTCCAGATTCCAGAGTAATTCCACTGACTTAAAAGTACTTGCACCAACAGTGTATTTTGGTACGCAGCAACTATTACAGAACCTGGCAGTAATTAAAAAAACTACTTAAAAGATTTTTACAAGTCAGTCTGTAGTATTTGGATCCCACTGAGAAAAATCTCTTAAGAACACAGGCAGTAGAAACAATTTTGCAAAAACAAGAGATGAAAACTGAGTTTCAGGATTCCTCGGATCTTAGAAAATCTCCTGCCCACAATTAGTCCACTTAATGTTTATGAAAATCCAAGCATACAAGAAATTCTGTAATTATATTTTCCTTTTATTCCACTAACATAATAATTTTGGCTTAATATGTTCAGAAAATACCCATTATTGAGAAATATATAAAAATATAAAACCGCTCCCCACCATGACCTAGGTTGTGGAATTGTATAATTTTACCACTCGCACCGAAGTCTGGCAGTAAACACAGAATGTTTTGGAAACACTAAATTCTGATTAATAACACGTGTTTCATCGATCTTGTCACATTCTAAAAAATTAAAACATTTTAATAATTGGTCTTTTAAAAACAAGAGCCAGCTGCTGCAAAGCCAACATCATTTTTGAAATCCCTCTGTCCCTGATGTTTCTTTCTCGCAGTTCTACCAAAAGCATTTTAGGTACAGTACTTTGAAGATTAAACTGTGGTCCAATAGATAGCAACAGGGCCAGTTTTTTACTCTTCCCACACATCTGGAAAGCTACCTGCCTTTATATCCACTATAAACACATGAAACTCCTATGAAATCTTGAGATCATTCTATGCCTTTATATCCACTATAAACACATGAAACTCCTATGAAATCTTGAGATCCTTCTATGCCTTTATAACCTTCTGCAGCACTGGCACACAGCGCCCAGCAACAGCTGTCTCGCCCTGTGAACTGGATGAGAACTGCGTTCTGAATTACACTGCTCTTCGCATTTCAACTTGCTAGTTGGTTTCCAACGGAAATTTCCACAGTCAGCCTTCCCAGCCAAAGAAACAAGCAGACACTCGTGCCAAATCTTAAGTCATGAAGTTCTTTCATAGCAAAACCAGCACACTTACCCTTTCCTCCCCCCTCCTTGGCAGCTCTGCTTAGCTGTGCTGCAGAAGAACAGAGTGGGGAAAAGGGCCGTGGTATTTATATGGCTCTTGTTTATCTCACTTTGCAGATTTGGTTCAAAGTTCAGGGAGCTTATGCTGAACGACCTTGCAAGCAAAGCAAACCCCATTAGCAAAAGTAGCCAAAATATTTCTCCGTTAACTAATTCCAAGTGGAAACCATTTATCGTGCAGAATGGCAAGGTATTTTTAATATAATGACTTCGAATATCAGGTTATGCAGTTCGTCAGTCACCCCAGTCAGCTGGAGGTAGTGGTACAGTCAGAGGAGGGGGGTGGGCCAAAGAGTCATTATTTTCTGAACACAGTGGTAACCACAGTGAGAGGGGGAAGGTACTTCTCTATTTATAAAAATGCTGAGCTGGCAGGTCTTTCTCTCATATGCTTTATCTGACATTTGCCTTAGAGAATGGTATAGCCTGTCTGAGGGCATGTGCAGTACACAGCTCCTTTTGCCCAGCCGCTCTTGATTACCTCACTTGGCTTTAAAACTTGTTTCTGTACAACCTGCCAGTTTATCAACTTCTGTTGAAGATATAGCCCAGATCTTCAGCCATTTAAATCAATGTAGCTACATGAAAGCCATGAAGGTCTACCAACTGGCAATAGCCAGTTAACTCTCTGTATTACTCTGCTGTGTTTTCTTAACGCCATCATCACTGAGGTATCTGCGGACAAGGTTAAACTGTTTCTTACTCTCTTTCCTCAGTGAGAGAATTGTTTATGCATGGCGTGTTTTATTTTGACAGCAGTTTGCTTGAGTTTGATTTCCTTCAATGTACATGTTATGTGTGTTTATGAGGAAATAAATGTTTAAAAACTTGGTGTGCCCTCAGATTCTAAGGTGGTGAGTTTTATATTGCTTAGTTCCGTGGCCTGAGACTCTGTCTCCTGCACAGATGAGCTTTATGCTTCTGGTTGGGTGTGCAAAATGGAACTGCTGATCTTGGGGTTTACCCTGCAGAAGTCCTGTGCTCAAGTCAGTGGAAAGAAGGACAAAGATCTGAAGTTCTATTCAATAGTCTTGGAGGACACAATGCAGAAAACAGGCATCAGACTGGGACTGAATTTTTTTTAAAAGGTGGAATGTGCTCACATTCTTCGTATTGTTAGGGAAACACATCCTTGTGTTCTTTGGTGGGTTGGGACCAAGCCCTCATAACTGTGATGATGTCCTTCACTATTCCAAATGATAGATTATTTGCTGCACCTCCTGCCTGAGGATAGGGTGTTGATTTTGAGTGCTAATAAAGCCCTGCAAGGTTGGCTGGAAGTAAGTATTTGGTATGCATCATGTCTGTCAATTCCTAAATGAGCACTGAAGCAGCCAAAAAGAAATTAAGCAGGTACAGGTCTATTAATAGGGACAGGAATAAAACACAGCTCAGTAGTGATTGGCAGTTGGTCTCTTGCCAATTATTGCAACACAGGTGGAAATACTGTCAAATAAAGAGCAATATTCCATTCCCATTTCTTTTTCAGCTTTGTAGAGAGGGATGTACAGAAGGCCTGATTAACAAGTGCTGAGCCTGTAAGCTGTATGTTACACCACTGAGTGCTGCTGAGACTAGCAGCTCACAAGTAGTGAAGGGTCCAGATGGAGTAAACTGAGCTGAAGCACCTAACTTATAAAGCAGCTACCTTGCTATGGAAAGCACATTGAGGATGTACGGTGCTTGCTACTGAAAAGTTAGTATTTCCTCCCATATGCTATGCAGAGACACCTGCAGACCCTCAATTCCCTTACAGAGAGATGAGAAGCATCTGTTGTTAGCAATTATCACTGTGCCAATAAATATTATTTATTATTTATTCTTCTATTACACTGTATTTATTATAACATTTATTATATTAAGGAGAGCTTGACTACATGCATGGTGAGAAGCCATGAGCATCTTGCTTTATAACATTCACCTTACCTGAGATCATTGTTCTGCCTCAAGATTTACTGAGGAAAAAGGTTCCTCTGTCTTAAAGCAAGTGGTAGGGAATATTATAATGTTGGCTGTGGGTTTAGCTAGATCTAATTCAGCTGTTTCAGAGATGTATATACCCTAAATATGTTTAGACTTCAGTCTGAAGCATTACGCTTTCTGAGTGGAAAAAAAATCCACTTCCACATTTCTTTTTACAAACAGTAGAATAAAGATGTTCATAAGTGTTAAATTTACAGTCTCAGAGTCTGACCATTCCATTTCTTATATGAATGCCCCTTGAGTTCGTAGACTTCTGTAGCCCTTTGTCCATAGCTTCTAAATAAATGGCTTAAATCTTAATTTTGCTTTCCACTGCAAGTATTTTCTTGGTTGTTATGTTCCAATCTCACTGCAGGAGGCAGTTATGAACTCTAATTTGGACAAGTCTTCAGTTTCAAACAATAATTTTTATAATTATTATCCTGTTTCTACTCACTTTCTTATTTGGTGGGAATAATGGTCCTGGTGGAAATAACAACCCCTTCCCTTCTTATTGAACATAAACTGTCCCCTTTTTTGACGTTTCAAACTTTTCAAAGCATCACAGTACAGAAATACCGGTGTCTTTGGAAATTAACTGGTGTTTGTTATTTCCGTTACCTAGATTGGTAACGTACACATTTCTTAAAAAATAATCTCAAATGGACATGGAATTATGAGGCTGTCAGAAATTGTTCTGGTAAAGTCTGCCGTAGTGATTTGCAACATGTGCAAATAATGAGAGGACAGAGGCGGAACATGGATCCAGCAAGAATTCTATCCTGAGACCTTAGGACTTCAGTGTCTGTTTTGCTCTTGTGACTGAAGGATGTCACAAACAGGGAATTCAAAGTCCACTGGCAGATCATAAGTCTCTACTGGTTCTTCTCATGTCTTCTCATTTTGTAACAGTGTAACTGCATCAACTCAGTGGAGTTACTCATCCTTTATAGTGGAACAAATTGCAACAAAAACAGGCTGTGGAGGTTTACTTAATGCTTACATAAACAAATTTCCATTTGTTTATGAGGCCTTAAACACTTGGTTAAATGCTGTATATACAGGGTAATTTAAGTGAAGGCTAAGAAGATATATTAAAGTAAGGTAAATTAAGCAAAATAATTAGAACCACAAGTTCATTAGTTAAAGTAACTCCAGAGAAGGATAGTGGTGTAATATTGGTCTCGTGCTCCTCTCACGTGAGATTCAGAGCAGCCTAAGATAACTAAATGCATACTTCTCAGAATTCAAAGGAAGCAACAAGAAGCAACATCCCCTGATACAGGCCGGGAGATTGTTTCAGTGAATGAAGTAATAGCTGATACACACAATTGTCTGCTTAAAAACAAAGTGAGACTTAAAGGAGGGAGCTCTGATCTAGTAGATAAATGTTTTGATTTTCTGTTTGGAAATTCCATTATAATAATAAAGTATCTTTCTCTACTTAAACCTCTTTGTGGC